GTCTGTGGGGAGGTGTGTGTGCGGGGGGGTGCAGGGAGGCTCCCACCCCCCCAGGGCAGAGCCGGACGCCGTGGAGCTGCGGGGAGGAGAGAGCCAGCGCTGCGGGCTGAGAGCCGAGCCTGCTCCGGGGGGGCGGGAGGGGGTGTGGGGGGTGTGTGTGTGTGTGTGTCTCACACGCACGGCAGCAGCAGGCGCCTCCTCCCCGCCGCATTAAAACCAGCCAAGTTTCCCGACCGGCGGCAGCGGCACGTCGGGGCGCGGCGGTGGGGTTTGGGGGGGGCTCCTGCCGCCCCCCGGGATGCACCTCAACGCCACGGCCCCGGCTCTGCCGGGCGGCCCCTTCCTCCACCTCCACCCCAACGCCTCCAACCGCTCCGACCTGCTCCCCAAAGGGCCGGACGAGGAGGACCTGGACGTCAACACCGACATCTACTCCAAAGTGATGGTGACCGTCATCTACCTGGCCCTTTTCCTGGTGGGCACGGTGGGTAACTCCATCACGGCCTACACCCTGGTGCGCAAGAAGTCGCTGCAGAACCTGCAGAGCACCGTGCACTACCACCTGGCCAGCCTCGCCTTCTCCGACCTCCTCATCTTCCTCCTCTGCATGCCCATCGAGCTCTACAACTTCATCTGGGTCCATCACCCCTGGGCTTTCGGGGGGGCCGTTTGCAAGGGCTACTACTTCCTCCGGGACGCCTGCACCTACGCCACGGCGCTCAACATCGCCAGCCTCAGCGTGGAGCGCTACATGGCCATCTGCCACCCCTTCAAAGCCAAGAGCATCATGTCCCGCAGCCGCACCAAGAAGTTCATCAGCTGCATCTGGATCGCCTCCTTCCTCCTCGCCATCCCCATGATCTTCACCATGGGGGAGATCTACGGCAAGGACCGCGATCCCGACTCCCTCATCTGCACCACCATCGTGGACCCTTCCACCCTGAAGACCGTCATCCAGGTGAGGATCCCGGTTGACCGGAGCAGCCGCCTCCCTCCCTCCCGGGGCTCGGATGCCCAAACTTTGCGGAGACGGGCGGGGCAGAAGTTGGGGGGGAACCGGTTGGGGAAGGCGGTGGGGGGGGGATCCCGGGCAAGCCCTGACGGGGCGGACCGGGCCGGGGTGCGGGCAGGCGGGGTTTGAGGAAGAGGAGGAGGAGGAGGAGGCGGGGGGGTGTCCGGTCTCCGCACCCCCTCCTGCCCCACGGCGCCTTCCCGAGCCCCCGCACCGCCGTTAATCCGGCCCCGGGTCGGTGAAAGCAGCCCCCCCCTCCATCCCCCCTTCCCGGAGCATCTCTCCCGGTGGCCGGAGCCCACGCTGTCCCGCAGCGGGACCCCCATGTGCCGCAGATCCCGGGGGGGCTGGGGATGCTGGGATCCTCCCCAAACGTGGCACTTCATCGCCAGAAAAAACCACAAATCTCCACCTTTTCTCTGCATCTCGTTCCTTCTGCCGGAAAGCAGCCGACAAGGTCAGGGGAGATAAAACCCCTGTCCCCCTCTCTCCCAGTCCCTGGGTCCTTCCAGAGCTTCTACACGGTGACAGATCCTCATTTCAGAAAGTTTTGGGAAGGAGGGGCAGTGTAGGCATCCGAAAAGGGCTTGCGTCTTCAGAGCCAGAGGCTGGTATTTTTTTGCTGATTTGGGAGAAATGTGTAGCTGGTGGTTTTTTTGCTGGTTTGGGGGAAATCTGTAGCTGGTTGAACTAGCAGAGCCCTCCTGGCTTCAGAAAGGCTTTGCTGGTCTCCAGCACTGCTTGATCTCACACACTCGTGCGTGGAAGGGATTTCAGCATCAACACTTGCTCCAGCGCTCTGAGGGGCCGAGGCATTTGGTTACTGGAGCATTGGGCTTGAAAAATGTAAGAGACATGGAAGGAGAGCTGGAAAGAGCAAGATGCCCATCTCCACAGTCCCTTTGCTGCCAGGCTGGCGTGTGATAGCTCCTCAATCTTTTATTTTGAACATGAATTTCAGGTGGGTTTAATCAGCGGCCAATTAGAATTTAAAGCAGCGTGTGTGCTAGAGCCTTTGAGATGTTCTCACAGTTAAGAGGGAAATTAAATGGAAAAAAATCAGGACCGTGTCTTGATGCCTGACTTCCACCTTGGGGGAGGGGGGCTGTATCTCTTCTGTAAGTGCTTTGCAGATTTTGTCAGTGGTACCCCCGTGTGCTTCACCCCAATTCTCCGCTCTCTAAGGGGACGTGAGCCGTCTGATTTGAGGACAGTCTGGCTGAACTGCATTATTTCCAGTCGCCTTCCTTTTAGGATTAAACTGATGCTCATTGTGACTATGATAGGGCTAAAAAGAGAGGATTATTTCTTAGCCGTGTCTTTGGAGATTACAGTTTAAACAATTCTCAACCTATTTTACAGTCTTGCTGTTATTCAGGCTATACTTTTTCCTCTTCACCAAGTACGAAGTAGGCAGACGAGAAAGCACAGTGTGTGAAGTTCACCTGGGAGCTCTTCCTCGTGTGGTTTTTTTGTTATTTCACTTGTGAATAAATTTAAAAGTGAAAAAAAAAGGAAGAGGTGGCTGTTGGAGGGGAGAGGGGAGGCCCAAACCCTACTGTCCTGTTCCTTCTCAGGGGATGGTAAAAAAAAAAGAAAGAGGCGGCTGTTGGAGGGCAGAGGGGAGGCCCAAACCCTACCTTACTGTTCTTTCTCAGGGAATCTGGCTGCAAGAGTAGATTTGCTGAGATGGGAAGGTCGTTTCACGGCTTCGCTCCGTCCCTCCGAGCACGGGGAGGAACACGATGCTCAATGTGATACAGGGCCCTGGACCAGGGAAGGCTCCAGAGTGAATAGGGAAAGCAGCTTTTAAAGTCAGTTTTGAAGTGCATTAATGGAAACCCTCGCACAGCGTGTGAGCGGGCATTCTCACCTCCTCAGCTGGGCTGAGCTTTTAAAAAAAGCCAAATAATGGAAGACCTGTGAAAGGGCGGGCGATGGAAAAGTGGGAGAGTGGGACACAGAGGTCTGGCTGGTCGGAAATCTGGATCCCGGGTCTTTCACAGCAGATTCAAACCGCTTTAGAGCAGGTCTTTGCATCTCTTTGCCTTCATTTTCTGGCTTTAAATGAGGCAGAGCCATGATGCACTTGCTCGAGCTGGCAAATCACTTGTAATAAATCACTGAACATATTTCACTCCTCTTCCTGTTTGGCAAACTGTCTAAAGCAAATCGGGGTTTTTTTTTTGGAAGCCATTAGTTCTCCAAGAGGTTTTATTTGTTGACTGATTGAAAGGCAGGCCCAGAACTGAGCAATTGTAACCATTTATAGACTCAGAGCCCAGTGTGAGCTGTGGTTCTGCTGGGATCGCTGCGGGAGGATGCTCTTCCCTGGACAGGAAGGAGCTTCCCGGGATGAATATTTGAGCGTATTAATTTAACATCTCTCCTTTTGCAGATGTCCCTCACTATTTGGTTTGAATATTTAAGTTTTAATGGACATTTCCGAGTGAAACTAAATCATGTGTGAATGAACAGTCAGGTTTCCTTATAAAAAGGAAAAAAAAAAAGTGACTGTTCAAAGAACACTCGGTGTATTTGCTTCTTGCTCATGATACTTAACTGGTACCACTTCAGCTCCACAACAACTGTAAGGAGTGATTACTGGTATTCTCCCAGTAATTAGAGATTTCTCAGCGCAGCACACGCTGATAAGCAGGAAGAGCAGTAAGTGAGATGCTCTGCAGGGTGTCACCAGGTGTCACCTCCATCAGTGCGGCCAGGCGCTGCGCATCTCACCTCCTGCCATCCAGAGGTGAGCTCTCTGTGGCCTCTGGTACTTAATTCTTCAGAACAGTAGCACTTCCCAGCTTTATCACTATCACTGCAGCTGTTTAAATCCACCTGGGAGTCCGGTTTATTATATATTCTTCATGCCAAGTTTGCCTGTTACTTCTGTCAGTCAGAGACCTCTGGTGTGAATATTGGCATCGGCATGGGACCCGGTAGCAGGAATAAGACCATTATTGCCCCATTATTTAGGTCTAGTTAACACTTGAACTGGCAGACATCCTCTAAAACACCCTGCAGCAAATTTTATGGGTTTTTTCCACATAAATTCTTATTCTTCCACACCTCTTAAAGCCATGCCCACACATAGTTAACACTTGAACTGGCAGACATCCTCTTAAACACCCTGCAGCAAAGTTTATGGGTTTTTTCCACATAAATTAAACACCTCTTAAAGCCATGCCCACACGAGTACATTCATGTTTTCATGCCACTTCAGCTGGAGGAGGCTTTAAAAGCTACTCATTGTGGCAGCAACAGATAAGAGAGCTCTGAGGCTGAGTGAGATGTTTCCCCTGTTCCCCCACACGTTGGTACCCGTGGCTTTGGTTACTCCACAGCTTTGCTGTTGGCTCTGGGGCCAGTTGCCCCAGAAGAGGATCCTGCCGAGTGTCCCATCCCACCACAGGCAGCCCTGCATGCCGTTAGCATCATACAATCCCAGCCCTGTTTTTCAAAAAGGTCTGAATTTTCATGGCCAGATGGCTGTGCAAAGCAATTTTCTTTATTACTTCTTACTTTCTTACCTCTTTTCTGGAGAGGTCCTTAGTGGACTTGGGGAAAGAAGGGAGGTTGAAAGAAATACCTGCAATCCCGGTGCGCCGTCGGTCCCAGCACACGGAGCCAGGCAACTCCTCGACCTAAAATCCCAGGATTTTAACTGAGCCGGGATGGAGGTCGCTCTCTGGCACCCCATAATTCAGTGTGTTTTCTCTCTGGCATGGCACAGTCTGCGCTCGGAGGGCTCTGCTGCAAAATATCCCCCCAGTTAGTGCCTGGGTAGAGAGTGTCTGACACATGCTAATGTTTTATTTGCACAGACAGCTGGTGTGAACCCATTTATTAAAACACATGGCAGCAGGCCCTGCGCCTCCAGAAGCTGTCACAGCTCCATCAGCTCCCGGTTGCTCATTTGATGGAGCAACTTCTTGGGAAGTTCTCTGGACCCCCGGGCTTGGGTGAGGAGCTTTTCCCTGCAGTTCTTCTTCTCATCAGCCCACCCCTGCGTGGCTGCAGCTCCCCTCGCCCTCCTCATCCCTTGTTTATTATGTTTTATGAAGCCTGCTTGTGGTTCTGATGATTTGTAGAGTAAATAACCCTGCACATGAAAAAACTGCTTGCTCGGGGAGGTCCTCTGCTTTATTTCTTCCTACGTTTCTTGTGATGGCTTCAAAGGAATGTGCTAAATGGCCTCAGGTCTGAAGGGGGTGGGAAGGAAGGACCAGGACATGGAGCTGGGAGATGTAAGGTGCAGCCTGGCCTCTCAGCATCCGTTACCACACTCTCTACACGCTCTTCCAAGGAGATTTATTCAATTCCCATTGCCTGAGAGGCCCCCAAAGTTATTAATTCCATGCACGATGTTGCAAACACTTCCTTAAACTTTCCTCGGGTGAGGAGCACCTCGGTGGGGTGGTGGCATGAGCTTCCTGCTGCGACGGCACCCGGTCGGTGCTGTGGATGGTGGGTCTGTGGTGCCCTGTAAATAAACACCACAAGCATCTCTCCGTAGTACACAAAAATAGCAATCCATGAAACCAAATGGCTGAATTGTCTGCAGGTTTGCTGGCAAATCATGTCCAGGATTAGTCAATGGCTTCTGTTCAGGAATCCTACATTTATAGCGATGCTGACTGGAGGAACTGAAGTTGGTTTCTTTTCCTCAGGTCACAGCCAAATTCCTACTCTGGCTTTTAATAACAGCGCTGTTCTAAATCACTCCCTGCAGCTCCTTGCAGTGATAATCCCACCCGTTGGGCTTGGCTGATAAAACTATTTTGGCTACACACGCAGGGTCGCAGCCCACCAGAGGAGCCCGTGCCTGGGTGGCACAACAAATCGGTGTTTTTGTGGCAGGACTGTGTCCCACAAAATGTGTCCCATCAGGTCATGGTGCTGCCAGCCCCTCGGGCAGACAAGAAAGTGAAGATGCTGGT